AGGGAAAGAAAGAAATGCTTGAAACCACAATGACTAAGAATTTCCTCGAACAAATGTTAGATACCAAACCACAGATCGAGGAAGCTCAGAGAAAGCCAAGCAGATAAATGCCAAAACCAAGACTAAACTAAACTGAACCTAACTGCGTTATAGTCAATTTGATTCAGAACATCAAAGATAGAGGAGAAAAAAGAAGGAAAGAAGGAAAAATACCACCTGCAGAGCGAAGAACGAAGATAAGAGTTAAATCCAACTTCTCAGAAAACACACACGTAAGAAAGGAGTGGAATGAAATGTTTAAAGTACTAAGCATAAAAGCCATTCAATATGGTTTTCTGATTCCCATAAAGTTATCCTCCAAAAGAAGGATGAATGAATGACCTCCTCAGACAAACAGAAATTGAGAGAATATACTGCCGGTAGAATTGCCTTGCAAGAAATGTTTCTTGAAAGTTCTCTGGGATGGAAAATAATATAGGTCAGAAATTCAGATCTACATAAAAGAAAATAGAGCATTGAGGAAGGAATAAATGAAGATAAAGTAAAAACTTTTAATTGACTTAATAGAAAATAGTCTGTTCATAATATAATAACAACAATGTATTCAATTATGTGTGCTTAGATGTATAGCTATATAGAGTTTATATATGTAATGCCAAAAGACCCAGAATAGCTAGCACAGTACTGAAGGAGAACAGAGATAGGGAACTGGATGTACCTGGCTTTGAGATTTACTATCAAGTTGCAGTAATCATGGTACAAATAGGTAATGGAATAGAATGGAGAACCCAGAAGTAGATGCCCATAAATACAGACAGTTGCTTTGACAAAGGAGCACGGGTAACACAATGGGACACAGATAATCTCCTCAACAAAGGGAAGGGGGGAACAGCTGTGCATCCATACAGTGACTGTGGACACAGATCTTACACCCTCACAGCATTAACTCAAGCTGGACCACAGGCCCAAATGTGCAATGCAAAACAATAAAACTCCTAAAAGAGAACATGAGAGAAAACCTAGCTGACCTAGTGATTTTTTTTTGGGTATGGTACCGAAGGCATCATCTTTGCAAGAACTAGATTCCATTAACAGGAAAATTTTCTGCTATGTAAAATACAATGTCAAGAGAAGACAAGTCAAAGACCGGAAGACGTATTTTACAAAAGACACATCGGATAAAGGGACATCCTCCAAAATGTAGAAAGCACTCAAAACTCAACAAAAGAAAACCAAAAATCCTAATTGAACGGTGGTTCTAAGTGATGAACTGTCTCTCACTTCAGCAAAGAAGCTATACAGATGGCAAATAATCATATGAGAATAGGCTCAATGGTCCTGTATCATTAGGGAAATACACCCATGAATCAACAAATCAAAGCCACAGTGAGATATCATCTCTCACCTATCACCAGCCTAAAATCCAGAACCCAACAATACCAAGTGTTGGTGAGGATGTGGACCAGCAGGAACTCTCATTCATTGCTCACAAGAATTCAAAATGGCACATACAGTTCCTTTGTTAAGTTCTTATGAGACTACAAATTATCCTTACCAAACAAGTATGTAAGCTATGGTACCATGCTTTAATTTGCATTTCCCTAATGAATAATGATATTGAGTATCTTGACATGTGCTTGCTTGTCACTCTTTGATGCAGAGGCCATTCTCATCTTTCACCCATTTTTTTAAATTAGTGTTTTCATATTGCTGAGTTTGAGAATTATTTGCATATTCTGGATACAAGTCCTTTGTTATATAGTTTCCTAATTCATTCTCCTAGTCTGATCTTACTTCTTCGTTCTCAAGATAGTATCTTTGGAACAAAAACAGTTTTAAATATGATGAAGTCCAATTTATCAGCTATTTTCTTTTATGCATCATTTGTTTGGTTTCACTTCTAAGAGCACTTTACCTAACCCCAGGCCACAAGAATTTACTCCATGTTTCTTTTAAAACTTTTATGCTTTTCATTTAGATCTAGGATCCATTATGAGTTTATTTTTACATAAGGTGTGCACTTTATATCAAGATTTACTTCTTTTCTTTTGGATGACCAATTGTTCCAACACCCATTAGTGGAAAAGAATGTCTTCTCCTCCACTGAATTGTGTTTACACTTTGTCAAAGATCAGATAACTCTATTTATGTGAGGCTGTTTCTGGACGTTCTAATTTGTTCCATTGACCTCTGCTTCTAGATCCTCTCTCTGGGTCTCTTTTAACTATTAAAAAAACAGACAAATCTGTCATGTGTCATGAGCAATGTGGGTGAAGGAGGAGAAATCCCTTATTGGCCCAAGAACTAGCAATGATTAACTTTCTTCCACCTCCTAACTCAGGTATCACAGAAACAGGTGACCGACTCAACAGTCACCAGCTAGCTGGGTGGTATAACACATTGGTGAAACCAGACCTCTGCTTCCTTCAAGCCTTCCTCACTCTGAGTGTTTTCCTGGTAGTGTCATCTGAAAAACATGCCTCACATGACCTCAAGGCAGAAGGAAAAGAGTTGGATTCTGACTTAAGGAAAAATGTCCAAAGAAAATGCAACTCTTTTCTCCAGTTAGGGGATATGAAATAGCAAATCTGTCTCACTATTTAATTTTAAAATAGTCACCCAAATCTTAATGAGAGTTTTATTACAACATCAACTGATTTCTGTTACAACTAAGATTCTGGGTGGCATCCCAGCACGGCCAGCTAAATGAGACGGATACAGAGTGGCTTTCCAGGGCATAAATATTTGCGTGGTGGCCACAGAGACAGAGGGATATAGATTTGGGTAAGCGCTGTTCCAAGCTGGGATCATTTAACATATGTACTATTTTGCCAGCTCACCTAGGGCATCTTTGCTACAGAGAAAACTGGAGATGACAACTTTCTCGTTATTTCTTTCCATCTTAGGCTATCTATGCGGTTGAGCCATGGGTATCATATAAGTAAACACACTTTGAAATCTCCAGGCTGGTGTGGGCAGTCTCCTCCTCTTTTACGGTATATTAATAATTGCAGCTAAGATATCATGTGCCTTTATTGAAATGGACAGAGGAAGCCCTAAATTTTACAAAGATGAATGCATGTTTAGATTCCAAAACCTGGCATCTTCTAAGTATGGGACATCTTCCCAGCTGTCCTGATAGTTCTAGATAGAAAACTGAACTGATTGTCATCGATGCACACACAACTTACACGGTTGCTTTGTTCTGAGTTTGCTTTTCTGAGTTTTTCCAGGGGACATTTCCCCATCCCTTTGCACTTTTGTTAATTGTTCTCCCAGATGAACCAATCCCTTTATTTTATGTCTATAGTAGGATTGGATCATACTGATGAGAGGAAAGGAGATTGACTTTCTGATGCAACTATGCAGACCCAGGAGAGGACCTTTTGTTTCTGAGGGAAGAAAATGGAGTATGAAGAGAGGTGTTTATGACGGCCTCTCTCAGGTGTCCAGGACTGTGTTAGCTTCTCTTACATCAGGTCTTTCTAGAAAAGCTGATAGTCACTTAAGAGTTCAGAGGAACTTGTATGAAATGAAATTTGCCATTTAGAAGTGATTTTATAGACCTCAAATTAATTTATTTGTTTATGCTAGAAATTTAATGGTAACACGATTAATTACACACGCACCATCGTTTGTGTGGAGGGTAAGTTGTGTGTTAAGTGATGGGTGTCAGGGAGAGAGGACGCCAGGGCCCCTTGCTTGCATAGACAATGAGTCACATCAGGATGAAAGGAAACCTAGAGTTGGAGCTTTGGTGGACTTCAACAAATTTGAGGATTTGAGATTGATTTGGATCAAGCCTTCTGGGGACAAAATCCCAGCCACTGGGAAAACAGTAACTCCTCTGTTGGTAAACCAGGTTACACCATCTTCTCCGACCTCTCACCTGGATGTTTTAGGGGTTTGAATACCTTGTTAAACTGCCTTTAAAAACCTGTATCTTGGGCCCTCCCTGGTGGTGCAACAGGTTAAAACACAGCACTAAAGCTAGCCCAGCTGCTTCAGCATGAGCTCAATGCCTGGCCAGGGGGCTGACCCGCATGGCGCGGCAGACCTCTCCTGTCTTGCCCACTGCTCTCCCCAGCAGTGTACTTCGTCGATCTGCCTGTTCTGCTCCCCACTGTCTCTGGTGAAGCCTCTCACCGCCCACACCTCTGGCCTGTACCCCAGTTCTGTATGCATAAATGAATAAATCTTTTTTTTAAGATTTATTCATTTATGCATACAAGAGCTGAGGTACAGGCTAGAGATGCAGGGGTTGAGAGGGCTCACCAGAGACAGAGTGGAAAGAACAGGCAGATACACTGAAACACACTGCTGAAGGGAGCAGCCGGCAGGCCAGGAGAGGTCTTCTGCGCCATGCAGGTCACCTCCCTTGCCGGGGATCGAACTCATGCAGCAGTGGCTGTGATAGCTTCATAGTGCCGTGCTTTTTAACCCATTGCACCACCAGGAAGGGCCCATGAATAAATCTTAAACAAAAAACGTACCTTGAGCCCCACAGCAGAAGTTGAGGCAAAGCTCTTGTACGTGTTTTTGCATGTATTGTGTATGAATCACACGACATGAGAATATTTATTTCCTGAGTAAAGAGGAGAGTATGAGGTAACTCTGAATCCCCCTCAGTGGCCCTGAGTGTGCCCTAGGCAGACTTGCTTGATAAGTATTTGCTGACCCAGGATCCCATTAGCTAGAGATCTCTATCTGCAAGAAGGTTTGTTTGCCAACCTGCTGGCAAGCCTGGATGTGTAGGACTGGTCCGTCTTCGGAGACGTTGCCCATGAGGGGCCGTTTCGTGGGGTAAGGAGCTGGGCTGTGCATACACGCCCGATCTCCTGGGATAGGTTCCAGGAGAAACAGACTGAACCTGAGCTTCTTCCTCTCTCCCAGGCATCGCGGCCGGCCAGGTTCATCCTTTGCGCTCCTCACACCTGGCGACGCCTCTGGACCTCAGTGCGAGAGGCGAGTTCCAGAACGACGCTCTGAGCAGCTGCCAGCTGGACGATCCAGGTAGGGCTCAAAATGGTGGAAGTTGTGCATGGAGTGACAGGTGTCTGGGGAAACTTAGAATGGATGGACAGGCCCAACCTGAGGAAAGAGCCGCCGGCCTTAATGATTACAGCAAAAGCAGAAGGACAAAAACCAGCACGTGGGAGAAAAAGGAGGACTTTGGTGCAGCTGGAAATGTGAGGAGAGTTCCTAGTGGCAAGATGTTCAGAGAGAGAGGCTCTTGTTCTGTCTGTGAAAACCTGACTGTTTGGAATGACTGACCGACGGTCAGAGAAGTCAAGGGAAGAAGATTCTGAAACACTGGGAGCATGTTGAGATGAAAAGAAGGACGTTTGGAATTACGAATTGAAAAAATCTGGAAAATCCAAGCAGGATGGAGGAGGGGTCCCTACTGATTAGCGTCTGCAGAAGCTGCCAGGCCCCTGGGGCTCTGGATTGCCAGCTGCCTGGAGGGCGGAGCCAGAGCTGTGGCTTTCAGTGGGGCAGAGGATGGGCCAGTATGCAAATGGAGAGGCTCCCAGGTGGCCCAGACACCCCACCCACCAGGGCTGGGCGCTGGAGGGAGCCGCAGGCAGGTTTGGAAAGACACTTGCCGCTGAACAGGTCTCAGAAATGAGCCCGGCTCCCAGAAATGCTGTCATTTCTTGAAATCACCTGATAGTCGACTCCAGTGTTTACCTGGCCATTGTGATTTTTTTTTTCTCTATAATAAATCCAGCCCCAGCCAGCCAGACTGGGAATTTACTGCCTGAGCGGTTTTCCAACATGGTTTTGCTGGCAAAAGCAGACGTGAGTGTTTCCTCAACTCTCAAGGGGACTGTTTACACTGACTTTATTTTTACTGCCAGCTTTCAAGTGGGAAGAGGGAGATTATGCTGAAAGGTCAGCAGGTGAGCAGAGAGGGCTCTCATTCCTGGGTGCCTGTTGCCCGCCCGCCTCTGCCCCAGCTTGCGCCTGCGCCCTGCAAGTCTGCAGAGAGGGCACTTTCCACGTGCAGACTACGCCCGTCCGGCTGGCCAGACCCCACCACGGTTTGCGGGCGTCATGACGGTGCCTGCCTGGTGGTTTGACAGTTTCCTGTTTGTTTATTGTAAAGACAGTAAATCAAGCTTTGGCATTTTCTGGATTAGAGGGCAGGAGATGTTTACTGTCAACAGGATAAGAACAAGGAGCTATAAAATACTGCCCTCCGCATTCATCTAGTGTCGGCCAGGAGCAAAAAGGTGGGAAGAAGCAGGCGTTGAGATTTGATTGGAACCTTTAAGTATTGGCGTGGGAACAACAGCCTGGGAACTGCCCTCTGGCCAAAGCACCAGTTGATAGAGCTAAATGGAGTAAAGTGAGGTTGGACTCGAAATCGACTCTCCTTTTTGAATATTCTCTCTCTTTTTAAAATTCTCCAAAAAGTGACAGATGTATGCTGACAATTTAGAAATTAAAATTTGGGTGAAGAATTGAGAAGGCAAGTCTCTGGTCCCTGTACACACAGCCAGAGTCACCCCCCGGCGTGCCGCACCCCCAGAGGAAGCAAGCTGAGAAGCTGCTGTCTGCTCAGACCTCATCAAGCAGCCATGAAATCCCTGCTTGCAGAAAACTTAGAAGACTGCCTGCTGCACAAGGTGAGCGAGCCTGGGCTCTCCCACACGACTCCAACTCACTGTCCTCCCTTCAGCCCCGCTCAGCTGTCCTCAGGCCTCCTGGGGTCCATCTGCACCCTGTCTCTGAGGCCTGCTGAGTGCTGGACCTGGGGCGGCACTTGCTGGCCTGAGCCTCAGCCTTCTCCTCTGTAAAGTGGGGGTGATGAGAGGGTGGCAGTGGGGTTACTGAGAGAGGAAAGGCAACAGGAACAAAGAGTTTTGAGGCTGTAAAACTGCTGGATGAAGAACGATTTATGTTTAGTACACATGAAGTAGGAACGAGTTTAATTCCCCATTGTAGGCTGTTAGGGAGTTGAATAGTATCTACTCATGTGGTCTAATTTAAGCTTTTCTGTTGGAAGCTAGTAAGGCACAGAACCACCCTTAAAACAAGATCATTTAAATTAAGAGTTAGGCACTGGTTGAGGGTTTTCATGCCCTAACACATGAACAAAGCCGCGATCATGAGCAGAGTGACCGTCTTCGGCAGAACCATTGAGAGAGATAAACAGGACCACTCACATGATAAAAACCATAAACAAAATGACCTCCAATCCTTTCTCCTTTGGGGGCCTCTAGAGGGTAGGGATGTCCCCTAGCATTTTCTCATAGTCATGTGCTTTCTGGAAAAAAAAAAAAAAAAGAGTCCAGATAGCTTAGCCAGGCTTTCAGAGAATTCTTTATCTCCCTCCCCTTTACTTCCCGACACTGCCAAGAGCAGAATTCTAAACACTGAGTCCAGCCTGTACACGTGTTTCCTTTTTTAAAACTTACTACAAACATTTCAAAATAGCAAGGTTTGCACAGAAGTCCTGGTTCCTTTCTTCTCTGGAAAAAAGAAAACTCAGCAAACCTAGTAACTGCGGGGCTGTTTCCTGCCTGGCACCGCCCCTCCCCACCCCCACCCCCCACCTGTGGGCTCCTGCTCCACCAGCTTTGGTGGGTGAGTCTGCCACTCTTGCCCCAGGAGAGGCACCCCAGGTTTAACCCCAAACCCTACCCTCCCTACTCCCAAGGGAGATGCTCTGTCTCCACTTTTGTGGCTCATCAGCTTCCTTGAAACTCCATTCAGTGCCCACTGTCTCAAGAAAGGCTTCCCTGTCGGCCCACCACAAAATGTGCCCCCTCTTCCGGGAACCCCATCATTCTCATTACTGACCTTGTTTATTTAATGAACCCTGGACACCTTCCCCTGATGATCTTGGGACCTGACATACTATATTATTGTTCCCTGGATGGTTCTGGAAGAAAACATGGTGCTTTGGCTATTTTTTTTTTAAGATTTGTTTATTTATGCATACAGAACTGGGGTAGAGGCCAGAGATGCAGAGGCTGCTAGAGCATTCACCAGAGACAGAGTGGGAAGCAGAACAGGCAGATCAACAAAGTACACTGCTGAGGGGAGCAAAGGGGAAATAGGAGAGGGCTGCCGTGCCCTGGGGGTCAGCTCTGGGGCCGGGGATGGAACTCGCACTGAAGCCGCTGAGGCTCGCTTGCAGTGCTGCATCCTAACCTGCTCGCTTGCAGTGCTGCATCCTAACCTGTTGCGCCACCAGAGAGGGCCCTCCTTGGCTATTTTTATTCCTCTTACATTCACACAGTATCGTGTGGTGTGAATTAAGCATTGGCTGATGATAATGCACTAGTGGGATGAGGCGTTCTCAACGAAACATGCAGAAGCTCATTACCCTACTGACCAGTGAGGCCACAGTGCCCAGGACCTGCGTGTTGACAGAGGAGCCCACAAAGGCCTGTGTGGATGAGAGAGCTTGTCCAAGTCACAGAGCTGGGCCATGCTGAGACGGCAGTGGTGTCTGTCACTCTAAGCCACATTTCCTCTGCTCACCCTTGTCTGTATCCTCATCAACACACCCTGAACACCTGCGTTATGCAAAACACTGCACCCGAAACACAGATCTGGAATGCGCCCAGCTCAGTGAGGATTCCAGTGTTTTGGGTACTTTTAAGAGGGGAACTAGCCCACCGCCAGCTTCTGCACCTAAGTCCAAAGGTAAAAGGTGGAAGATCCATTTTTTGGACAGGCAAATGCTTAATGCAATACCTGGCAAATCTTAGGTGACAATAGAGGGAAGACAACCAAAAAAAAAGAAAAGAAAAAAGGCCAGCCACCATCCCTTCCCTCTAGAGTTCCCCAAAGGAGAAAGGATTGAAAGTAATTTCATTTGTGATTTTTATCATGTAAGTGTGGGATGCCTTAGGGCACGTGGAGGGTTTAATAGAGAAGGGTGGTGGTGAGGGGGTGGGCCTTCCAGCCTAAGCAGCCCCCTTCTGGCAGCTGGTGGGTTGGTCCTGTGGCCTTACCCTTGGGGAGGAGCCAAGGTGTGGCCTTGAAGTTGGACTTCAGAATAGTTGCTTCCTGACTCTGGGTCCCTGGGCAAATTCCTTACACTTTCTGAATTCAGTTTGCTTATCTGTGAAATGGGCCCCCTTATCGTATCTACCTTAAATATTGCTGGGAAACTCAAAGGCACTGACCGCTTTAACGAGCTTGCCCTGTGCGAGGGCCTGCTGGCCACTGGCCGCTGCTCAGTGTGCTGTGGTTAGGCCCCTGCACTGTGTGGGATCCGCAGACCCCAGGCGGCCCCACCCCCTGCTTCGTGGGAGAGCTAGTTGGAGAGATGGGCAGATGATGAGGGAAAGCCACTCCCATCTGTGTCCCCCCCTTTAAATTATGAGCCCCAGGAGACAGACAGTGTCTGATTTTAACAGCAAATACTTGGGCTTATTGCAACCGCAGCATGGACGTCTGACTTCCTGTTGTCTGGAAGGAAGTTCTCAGTCTCTCCCCCATAACATTAGACAGAGCACATGCTTGGGGCAGGGGTAACCAGGCCTGCGTGACATTCCCAGCAAGCAGTTTAGTGCCACCGCCCAACCCCTCTCTCCAGAAGGCATGCCAGAATGCATGAGTCAGAATGTTATTATCAGGAATAACCTTGAATTCTTATTAATTTGTATTTGCAACAGAAAATCATCTACAAACTTGAGCTATTTATAGTAGCAAGTGGGACAGTGGCCCTCACCCTCTGAATGGGAGAGGAAGTAGTCTGTGGGGGTGGGGACATGTGTGTGGCCACATAGGCATGTCCTGCCAGAGATGCAGGCAGGAAGGGGCGGCCGGTCACCTGACAGACTCCAGTGGCAGCGCCCGGTGGCACAGGCCTTTCCCAAGACAGGCTCCCGAGCATAGCCATGGTCAAGCCCGACATCATTGCCAGCCGCTACCTAATCTGTGTCTTCATGCGCCCCTGAAATTCTGCACAGAGGTGCCCAAGTAAAGGAGAGTCTGGATTCATCTCATGAGCTTTGCCCCCAGCGGAGGGCATGTTTGGGTTCAGCAAGAGGACAAAGGGGTCTTCCTGCTGGGGTTCCTACTGGAGAGTGTGCCGCCCCAGGAGACAGGTATTGCTTGGGTCAGTTTTGTTACCGGCCTGTGTGATGTTAGGGAAACCATCTTGTCGCTTCGGCTTCTGTAGTCACACCAGACACGCTTCTGAGAGCTCTTCTCAGATCCCCAGCAGCAACAATGAAGGGAGAAAATCCAAACCAGAACCTGTGGCTGTACGCCCCGAAAACTATTCCCTTATTCTGATTTTCACCTTCAGAAATCATGAGGTTATAAAGATGAATTGATCACCCTGTCTAATGAATGAAAGATTGTAGGTGTCTTCTGACTGGTGTGTGGTCTTGTCAGTGAGAAGATTCTACCATCCAGGGAAGATGCAGTTTACAGAAGAGGTAACTTTTCCCTATAGGAAACCATCGTGTGTGTGTGTGGTGTGTGTGTGTGTGTGTGTGTGTGTGTGTGTGTGTGTACACAGACACACGTGTTTTCTCAAGATTCTCTCAGCTAAACATGACTTGATGGCATCAGTAGGGTGGCGAATCTTTTGTTAGTTGATTCACTCAGGAAACCAAATGTTTATGTGTAGAGTCTGTTCTGTGGACTCATCCACGGACTCTGAGACCTTGGGGGTTGGCCTTAGTCCTCACATTCTGAGAAGAGAATTAGCAGAGAACACTACCCCGGGTGCTCTGACTGGCATGTCCTGTCTGCGAGCCCTGCATTTCACTGCTCTACTTGATCAGATTTCTGGCCCCTGAACCCTGTCCCAGCACCTTTCTCCACCCAAAGAGCTTCGTCCATTCTCTGCCTCACCTGGAAAACATGGCCTCCCTTGTGCTTTCTATGTCTGCGGATCTTGGCCAGCCAACTCTCATCTCAGCACCTCAGCTGTTGCTCCCTCTGGAGGGCTGGCATTTGCTGGTATCCTGCAGCCTGTGAACCCACCCAGTGCTGAGTTCTGGGCTGCCTGGGCTCTGGACACCAGCACCCCAAAAGTCCCTCGTTCCTTAGAGAGAGGCAGGCTGCCACCAGAGGGCCCTGCCTTCCCCTCCCCCCCCCCATCTCAGCACAGTGCCTTGTCTCCGACTCTATGAAGAAAAAAGCCATTAGAGAGGGACTCTCTCCAGTTCCTGCCATGTCTTCTGCCTGTATTTCCTCTGGTTTTCTTTCCTTTGACACGCCGTGAGTTCCTCCTGGTATTTCTAGATTTGCATAAGTCTTCCTGACCAGGAAATCCTTGTTTGGTGGTTTTGCTCTCTGCTGCCTCTTCCTTCTCCACTGACTCTTTTCTCAGCCCTTAAACACGTTCAAACTGGTGTGTTATTTTGAAGCAAAACAAACACAACCTAACTGTTATCGTCCTTGGTTTCCATTTCCCTTCCCTCGCCAGCCTTCTTGGAAAAGCTGTTTGACCCTTGCTTTACCTCCATGTCCCATTCATTCTCAGCACCTACCACGTCCCCAAACACAACAGTCCTCTTCCAGCTGCCAGACTCCCAGAACATTTTCTAGGTCTTAATCTCATGAAGCCACTTATATTGACTTTGTTCTCCAAGCCCTTCATCCTTTCTTCTCTTAAAGACTGCTTGCTCTTTTCGCCCACATCACCATCCTCCTGCATAATCTGATCCTACAGTGTAGGAAAAAAATTGCAGTTTTCCCTTATGCTCCTCATGCTGGAGATCAGCCATTTTCTAGATCTTTCTAGAACATCCTTCATGCCCTTCTCTTTCTAGCCTACCCCTAAAAATCTTTCAAGATACAACCCCAATGCTTATGCCACCCTCCAAACTAATGGAGTTTCCTTTCTCTTGTTCCCTTACCCTCTTGTGTAAACCTCAACCCAGCACCGATTGCTGTGGATTTAACTGCCTGTTTATTTGTCTTGCCTTATCTCATCTGTCAACACCTTGACAACATGTATACCCAGACCAACAAGAATTGGCCAGAATTGAATCCCGACCCATGAGAGTCCCACGCCAGAGAGAACCCTTGCTCACAAGTTTCTGAAAGCATTTTCTTTCATTTTGGCAAATGACCGGTCCCTCTGTGGCCTCCTTTCTCTTCCACTGCTAACACTGAAAGATGCAGAATCTTGATCATTTACAAATTCTCAAGCTAAGACTCCTTGGCTCCTCTCCCCATGGCCAAATATTGAGATGGACATAAAAAGAGGGGTGAGTGGCTGCTCGTAACCAGAAAGGTGATATTAAAAGTCAGCATAGGGTCCTCACTGGTGGCGCAGTAGGTTAAAGCACAGCACTGCAAGCTAGCTGCAACCGCTTCAGCATGAGTTTGATCCCTGGCCCTTCAGGTGACCCACATGACACGGCAGACCTCTCCTGTCTTACCCGCTGCTTCGTCGATCTGCCTGTTCTGCTCCCCACTCTGTCTCTGGTGAATCCTCTCACCACCCTGCACCTCTGGCCTGTACCCCAGGTCCGTATGAATAAATAAGACTTTAAAAAAAGAAGTCAGCGTAAATGTGACCAACCTACTTACATTCAGATAAGACATGTGAATTGTGCAAAGACAATCTCATGTAGATCATATTTCCAATGAGATGATGTCTGTGTCCACATACAGTTGCTTGACGGTTGGTGGGAGAGAGGAGGTCCAGGTAGCCATCTCTTACATGCTAGGGCACAGCAATGACTCACATAGACAGAACATGAACTTACAGTGCTGTGCCCCGGATTCATTGATGACTCAGCTGAGGAAAACTTTGACTTCTTTTAATGTAACTGTTTTTCTTGACATGCCATTGGTTTATAAGCATCTCAAGATGTCTCCGTTACTCCTATGTATGCAGTCTGTCAGGACACTCCTCTGTGTGGGGATAGGTTTATATAAAATTGGCCTCTAGTGCAGAGTAGACCAACTGCCCCATTGGACCAGTGACTCCCACACTCCCTTACTGTTACCCCCACATTTAAATTCTGCTCTTACATCTGTCTTCCCCACTACTGTAAGTTCATGTTCTGTCTATGTGAGTCATTGCTGTGCCCTAGCATGTAAGAGATGGCCCAGCACACAGCAGGTGCCAAATAAATATGCACTGTACATCTGTGATGTGCAACACACATGCAAGGAGATGAACATGCACATCTGTTCTCCGTGTCCGGTGGTTGGTGGGAGATGAGCTAGCTCTAGGTGAACGGACTCGTTAATGACTCAGCTTAGAAAAACAAATATCTCTTTAACTTCAACTTTTTTAATGTAATTGCTTTTATTGACATGCCTTTGGTTTACATCATTGTTAGTATTATCTTGGAATTATAGAATATGCCCCCTTCAAGTGTGGTTACCATAGTCACCTACCACCAAAGCACCCATAGTC